CAGAGAAAATAAGGGGCATGCCCCTGAAGAGTGAGCAAGTTAGAGCCTCAGAGCCAAGGCCAGAGCCTGAATCTCCCTGCTCCCACTGTCCTTTCTTCTGCATAACACTGTCACTCACTGGAAGATACTATTTTCTACTTGTTTGCATACAATCAAGTTTCAGTTCTACAAGTTAGTGATTTTGTTCCAAATGTGATAGTCCCTAGAAAATGCCTGTATATTACAGCAAAACCTTTAAAGCCACAATCCAGAGAACGCATAAGAAACTGTTAAAGAAGAATATCAAAAAATAAATATAGCATGAATACTCAGCCATTTGTTTCTTTGATTTTCTTAGGGTATGACAAGAAAATTTCATTAAGCAAATCAGTATTATAAAAGGTAAACAAATGCTAGCTTTACAACTCCCTCTAGTGGTTTTGTCAAAATCTGAGTCTTCTCATGGTGGCCTGTGGCTTGAGATTCCAACTGGTCTAGAAATCCTCTAAATCACTTATTGGCTATATCTTTTCCTTTTCTGAAGATTAAGTGCACTTTCTGCATTTGTTCTTCAATGCCAGCAATGGAGGGACTAGAAATGGAAAAGGCAAAAATCCTACCTGTAGGGTGTTAATTAGAAGGCACGGAGGTGGGAACTTGACTGTGGCTTAATCACTGACTTATGGGTATATGTGGACAAAATCCCAGCTGACCCCAAAGCATTAAAATTAAACATAGCTTGTTAAAGCATGTTGTAATTGGAACTAGTCATTCATATTTCAAAGTCAAAATCAAGATTATCTGGTCATTTACACACAAAAGCTCTCACAAATCCTTAGCAGGATAGACTACAAGTCAGATGCACATTCATGAGTTGGAGATAGAGGCATTCCTCCTACATGATTAGGATACAGAGTAATTCACTACTTAGAGAAAACGATATACATTAGCCACTGCTAACAGTTATAACTCTGCTGCCATGCAAAAGCTGCCAACTGGGCAGTAAAGAAAAAACACCTCTTTAACCTCTTAAGGCTATAGTTCTGCTAGTATAGTTCTTCACTCATAGCGACTTCTCCTTGGATTTCTGAGGCGGTATCTCTACAGAAGTAAATTGCCCAATCTTCCTTCCAAAGAATGGCTGGTGGGTTTGAACCAACAGCCTTCCGGTTAGCAGTCAAATGTCGTAGGCACTACACCACCACAGCTCCTTAGTATACTCTAGTTTAGGACAAAAAGCCTTCTATCTATGTAAGCAAACTCAGGTTAGATCAACCAATTCATTATTTTAACTTTCAGTGGCAAAGTATACATATACAGCCAAACTTTTTAATGATTTTGAATTTTGTTACTGAAAATTGGAAACTCTCTAGCTTCTGCTCTCACTTCTTTCCTTGTGGAAACTATTTTTTTTTAAAAAAAAGGTAAAAATACTTTTTATTAATATAAGCTTTCTTAGGAATAAAACCATAATCATCAAATTAGAGTCAAATTAGCTATATATTCTTTTCTTCTTCCACTCTGCCATAAACACTCATTCTTATATCCACCTAACTTCCTCTTCACCTTTTAAAAAAGCACTTTTTCCTCATCTTAAATGATTGTAAGCGGCCATCTAAGATGCAACAAGTAGACTCTCTTCATCTGGAACAAAGAAGAATGAAAAAACTAAAGATGCATGGAAACAATTAGTCCAAAGGATTAGTGGGCCATGCGAACTCAGCCTATCTGACCCTGAGATCAGAACTAGATGGTGCCCCACTACTACTGTCAACCATTTAGAAAGGGATCAAAATAGGAGAACCTGGTAAGAGTGGGAGAAAAAAGTGAAATAAAACTCAAAATCATAAAAAAGACCAGGATTGTTGGTTAGGTAAAACCCCGAGACTATGGCTCCTAATCAAACATTTGGCCTGGAATCAAACTCATTCCCATGGCTTCCCCTTCAGGCAAACAACAGACAGGCTTGTAAGGTGAACAATTACACCAGGGAGATGTATTCCTTAGAACAGTCAACCATGAGAGATCAGAAAGAAGGGCAGCATTTGCACAGGGACATAGCTCAGAGGACAAAAATGCATAGGAAAAAGGGCACAGGGAAAAAGTAACCACGAGGAGGAAGTGGGAAAAAAGTTGTTACATTATGAGAATTGTAATCAATGTCATGAAACATAATGTGTATGAACTGTGGAATGGAAAATGAATTTGCTCTGTAAACTTTCAATCAAATCACAATAAAAATAAAAATAAAAAGAACCCATTTTCCTCTGGAAATTCTCTACCTTGGTGTATAATTCAGGGGAGCTCTGGTGGCGTAGTACCTAAGGCACTTGACTGCTAACCAGAAGGCTGGCGGTTCAAACCCACCAGCCACTCCTCAGAAGGAAGACTGGGCAATCTACTTCCCTAGAGATACTGCCTCGGAAACCCAAGGAAGTGTCACTGTGAGTTAGAGATGACTAGACGGCACTTAACAACAACAACAATCTTAATGGAAGCAGATCACCAGAACTTTTCTTCCAAGGTACTGATGGGTGGCTTCAAACCACCAACTTTCAGGTTTGCAGGCAAGTATAAATCATTTGTGCCACGTAGGGACCTTCCTTAACTACCACCACCCTTAAAATGTTCACTAGATAATAGACCTGACAGTAAATTCTCTCTAATACTCTACTTATCTCTCTAGTATCTTTCTTTAAAGGTCTACTATAATAAACTGATCCTCTCAAACATTCTAGTGGATAGGTCCCAGCTAACTACCGAAAGTCTTCAGGGTCATGAAAACCTTTGTTGTGAGTTCACAAAGTAAAAGGAAATACTTCTATGTTTGCCATAGAAACTATTGTGATGAACCCTGCTAAAATCTGGATACCCTTGCCCCTAATCACACACAACTTCACAAGGAGGGCAGGTGGGGTCTTAAGTACATAAGCCTGTGTCTGTGTGAGAAGTGGGGGTTGTAGCCAGCTGGGAGACGAGACTCAGCTCCAGCCCACCTGCTGCCGTGTGCCAACACAGGTCTACTATGGCCAGGGCTTAAGATGTTACAAAACAAGCCAGAAATTCTGGGCTGTTACATGAAAGTTTTCCAATTTTAAAAGATAAATTCAAGTTTTAAAAAACACTATGCAGCCAAACAAAATACATCTACAGATAATGCAGTGAGCTGCTAGTATTCTACATCTACCTAACCATACTGCCAGCCATGTGGACAATAGTCAATTGACTCTTCCTTGCTTCCTGCTAAAATTAATACTCCGCAGTAACTATAAAAAAGATTACATATTATAAAATGTGTAATAGCAAGCATGGTCTCAATACTAAGGAAGCCTTTTATCATAGTCAAGAAATTTGACTCAAACTGAAAACAATCCTAACAAGTAAATTGCCACCATACAATTACCACTGCACTATTACTATTGCTACCACTTTCTGAACAATCACAATGTGCCCAGCATTTGCTACATACTTTATTTATAAATAATCTGATCTCTTTCTACTACTCCTTTCTTCCTACAATCCATTCACCACACTGCATCCAGAAAGATCTTTTTCTTTAAATTGTGATTTGGGTGAAAGTTTATAGAGCAAATTGGTTTTCTGTTCAGCAATTCATATACATTTTGTTTTGTGATAGCCATTGCAATTACAATATAACAACACTCTTCCCACTTCCTCCCTATGTTTACAATTTCTCTTTGTCCTTCTTTCCTATCCCTTAATATCTTCTGAGTTTTATCCCTGGGCAAATCTCACATGGCCCATTGTTATAAGCGTATACCTCCCTGGTGTTTCTGGAGAGATCTTTGAAAAATATAATCAGATCATATCCTTTCCCGGCTTAAAATCCTCCACTAGCTTCCTATTGCTCTTAGAATAACATATAAACATCTTATCAAGGCTTGGGAGCTCTGGTGGTATAGTGCCTAAGGCATTTGACTGCTAACCAGAAGGCTGGCGGTTCAAACCCAATCAGTCACTCCTCCAAAGGAAGAATGGGCAATCTACTTTACCTTAGAGATACCACCTCGGAAACCCAAGGAGGGGTCACTATGAGTTGAATAGAATTGATGGCAGTGAGTTTGGTATGGTTTTGGTTTATCAAGGCTTACCATGATCTGGCCCTAGCCCACCTCTTCTCTACATATCTGCTCTCCCTCTTTGTTCTGGGCACTCCCAACACCATGCTGCATCTGGAGTCTTCACAGATAAGAAGGGCCTCTTCCCACCTGCAGGTCTTTGCACTATTATGGCCTAGAATGGTCTTCTTTAGTCTTTGCTCCTTCTCAACTTTGCTCCAGTCTCAACTCAAGCATTTCTTCCAAGCAACCTTCCCTCACCATCCTTTCATATCACCCCTGCTTTGTTTCCCTTATATTTGCCAGTAATTCATTCTCACTCACTCAAGTTATTTTACTCATTTGTTTATGGCTTGCCTATACTAGGACTTAAGCTCACCAAAGCAAAGACTCTTCCTTAGCTAACTCATAGCAATCTTCCAAAGCCCTAGAAATTATGCCTCTAACTCTAAAACCAACTATTAACCTGTGGCCATGGAGTCAGTTCCGATTCATGGTGACTCCATGTTTACAGAATAGCACTGTTCCATAGGGTTTTATTGGCTATTACCTTTAACTAAGCAGACTGCTGGGCCTTTGTTCCCCAGTGTTTCTAGATGGGTTTGAACCGCCAACCTGTAATTTAGTAGTCAAATGTAAACCATTTGTGCTACCCAGGGGCTTAGCCAACCATTACCTACCTCCTACATGAAACGATTTAATTTTTTTTTTTACCATTTATCTGACTGTATCATTCATAGTTATATTTTATTCTTATCTCTAAAAAGGAAGCATTCCATTCATCCATCTTTTAAAAGTCCAAATACTGACCCAGTTTAGGGTCTGTTTGGTTTTCTTATGAAATTATAAATTCTGTCAAAATAACACAACATGCTATAATTTTTATCAGGACATCAAAATTTTTAAAGACTGGATTTCAAGTCTTTTTTCCTGGTAACTTACCTCTTTCTCTCTTTCATAGTCTTCTTTGTCATAGTCTTCATCTTCATTTTGTGTCTGAAGGGCCACACTGCCAAAGTCTAATGACATGGTCCTCCTGTGGCAAGGGGAAGATGTTTGGTTTCTAAGTATCCCAATCTACACAAGAGATGCCATACACAAAGTCAAAACACAACAACAGGCTGGAAGGGAAAATGTTTAAGTCACGTATGACCAATGGTTAGTATTTTAAATACTGTGTAAAGAGCATTCTCACAAATTAATTGTGATTCACAGAAAAAAAAAAAAAATGCTGTTATGACAGCAAGTCATAGTAAAGAAAAAAATGCAAAGAGCTAATACACCTATGAAAAGACCTTTTTTGGTGACCTGGAGAGTATAACTTAAAATAGTAAAACTCTTGCCCAAAAAGGAGAGAATAACAAGCCAGAAATATATGCCAAAGCAAAAAATTTTATGAAAAGGTACAAACAAAATTTTGGATTAATTGTAAGAAATATGGCACAGGTAGCATCATCCATATTTTGCTTCAGCCAATGAATATCACAAATTCAAATTTCATGCTCTACAAAAGAGCTGGCTTAATGGTTGCTACCCAGAAGCCATTTACCATCTGGTAAATTCCACACAGCACACAACAAAAATGTAAGTGTTAAAGTTCCTGCTGTTAAGCTTGATAAAATCAGGCTCTGGCAAAATACTCAGGAGAGAAAAAAAAAAACAGAACTGAAGGTACTGAGGGCTGTGGAGCTGTACCACTGTGCAGCTCCAGTTCCAAAACCAACACCAAGCGTTCCCTGGGGAACAGTAATTGCGGTGGCAGAAGCAGCAGCAGGAGATGGGTTTTCAACTACTTATGGTCAAAAGGCTGCTGATGATTTAAATTATACTTAGGGCACCTGACACCACAAATAAACTCCCCAGAATTTCAAAGCTCTGACAAAACATAGGCAGGCATCATCAATTACTTGGCCCAATTCTTACCCGGTCCATACAGTCCACTATTTGCATGCCAAATGAACGGCACTTTGATGTGAGCCTAACCCACAACACTTACATTACACCTTTCAGGTGCTAAAATATCATTACATTGGAAGTGAAATAAGAAGCACAGACCCAGCGATCTAAATGCATTTTACCAGAAAGAATGTAAAACCAAAAACCAAACTCACTGCCATTGAGTGGATTCCGACTTACAGTGACTCCCACTGGGTTTCTGAAGCTGTAAATCTTTATGAAAGCAGACTGACTGCCTCATCTTTCTTCCGAGGAGCAACTGGTGGGTTTCAACCACCGACTTCTTAATTAACAGCCAAATGACTTAACCACTACACCACCAGAGCACCTATAAAGACCTTAGCTTCCTCATAATAACAGTTGAGAACTTTGATCACAAAGTTTTCTGTAAACCAGGAACTCTATAACCCCCTTTATGGTATTGCCGCCAAAGAAACTATAATGCACCATTAATTTTAAAGATGTAGCTTGATTTTGTGAAGGCTAAAATAGAAAAACAAACTATGTACTTTAAAATTGATGAAATATGGTATTACACGTTAACACAAACAGGGATTTTAGTGCTGAAGATCCCAGAGGTAGAGTTTTGGGGATATTTTTTCAAAGACTGAGTTATTTCTTGGTGAAGCTCCAATTTGCAGTCCACCTTCCCATCCCTTCCTCTCCGGTCTCTGCACCCATCCTCCCCTTCAATTTGCATTAACTCAAACTCCTCACATCAACTTAAACCCTTCCAGTGTCCAATGCCTAGGTCAGCCCCACCACCTGCTTCTATTCTTGTGCCAGGAAAAAGGGATAGAAGACAGGTGCACTCCTCCACCAAGAGGCAAAATACCCAAGTGGAAGATCTAAATCCTTGTCCCCACTCTGTAACTATAAGAATCTTGTACATCCTGCATGGAGTGAAGATCTGAATATAGAAAAGAACCCATAAAACAGCTGAAATGTGCCATACACATACATACTCTATGGTGAGGGAAAAACAAAAACACTATCCCATGCTTCTAAATAGAGTTTTCTTCACTACTGAAAGTGAACATCAAGTCTGTAGAACTTAGAGACAATGGAAAATACTGTTGTTGCTGCTGTTGTTGTGTGCCATCGAGTCGGACCCGACTCATAGCGACCCCTCCTTGGGTTTCGGAGGCAGTATCACTATGGAAGTAGATTGCCCAACCTTCCTTCCGAGGAGTGGCTGGTGGATTTGAACCACCAACCTTCTAGTTAACACAAGCCCTTTTAAATCTTACCTCCTTAAAAGAGATGAGATTAAGCTGAGCCTTAAAGACACCCAAGAATTGTCAAAGCAGAAATCTTCCCACCTCTGAATTCTTGTAGTATTCCACCTCTTTTTGTACTTAACTGTAAGTACAATGCAGAATATGGTATTTGGATTAATCTCTATAAGGTGAAAGAAAGATGCCCTAATGGCTCAATAGTTAAGCGTTTGGCTGCTAAAAGAAAGGCCAGTGGTTCGAACCTACAAGGTGCTCCATGGAAGAAAAGACCTGGTGATCGGCTCCTATAAAGAATACAGCCTATCCCACTGTCAGCCACTCAGAGGGGGATCTATATAGGAAATCTTGGATAGAGTGGGAAACAATGTGGAACAAAACTAAAAATCATAAAAAAAAAGACCAGGTTTGCTGGTCTGACTGAGCCTGGTAGAATGCCTCAGACTATGGCCCCTAGCTACTACTACCCTTTAGGTCTGGAATTGAATTCACTCCTGTGGCTTCCAGCCAAACAAAAAAGATAGGCATATAAGGTGAACATTACATTAGGTAGATACACTCCTTGGAGAGATTAATCATGGGAGAATAGAAGGGCTTTGTATGCACAGGGAGACAGCTGGGGGGGGGTGGGCAGGAGTGCATGGGAGGGAAGGACACAGGGAAGAGGTAACTATGGGGAGCAAGTGGGAAGAGAGCTGTTGCCTTGTGGGAAATTACAGTCAGTATCACGAGACAAAGTGTATGTGAACTGTTGTATGGAAAATGAATTTGCTCTGTAAACTTTTACCCAAATCACAATAAAAAATTAAAAAAAAAAAAGGGGAATGAGGAAAAAAGAATACAGCCTAGGAAACCCTGTGGGCCAGTTCTACTCTGTCATATAGGGTCTTTATTAGTTGGATTCCACTTGGCAACAAACAACAAAGGTAAAAAAAGGGAGGGTTTTTTCCCTCCCAATCCTTCATTAGGCTGTCATCAAATTATGGTGACTGTTGAAAAAGAGCACTAAGATTTACAAGTGCCTATGCTAAATATGGGAGCTCTGGTA